TTAAAAAATATCTTTATCTTTGAAAAATGGTGTCCATTATTGTAGACAAAGATTTGGAAAGTCTGTTTTGGAGGTGAGGAAGGAAGTCAAACAAAATCGTGATATGTCCTACAGGTACAGATGAGAAGCTAAAGCCTAAGGAGTGGTGCTGTGGATTTTTATTTTATTCAGGATGTAGAAGATATTGCGCCAGCTAGACTTCCTTCTGCTGAAAATATCTAGTGCAGAGAAGGTGACGACTTTCGTTGTTAGCAGGCACCCTAAATTCAATTAGAAAGATTAAAATGCACTTTGCTGCCCATGCAAAGCATGTATCTCCTACAAACAAGCAATGCAGTCTGAGCACTCCTGCTGCTGCTGCCAGGTTATACTGCTCTCCACGAGGAAAGAATTTAACTTGACAGTGGTGGGTTTGGTTTTTCTGATTTGATTGTGTTTGGTTTTTTTTCGTTTAGTTGGTTTAGTTTTTTGATTGGGAAGCTTTTTTGCTTGTGTTGGTTTTTTTAAAAATTCTAAAGTTACCCTGTTACTGTGAAAGCCTAATGGACTTCTTATCACTTGCATAGCCAGAGAATGTGATGTTATCCATTGTGACAATGTTATTAATTCACTGTAACAATAAACCATGACTATCTGTAGTGCATGCTGCATGCTGAAATTTATATTATTATATTAGTTAATAATGTAGGATTTTTATCTGCCTTCCCTTGTTGTTTTTTCAAACAGCTTTTCATTAAAATTTCAAGTGTGTCTTACCCAGTAATAAGTCAAAACTCCTTGTTTTCTTATCATATGTAGTGTAAGGAATGGTTTGTCCTTTTTCCCTCTTTCTTTTCAATGACTACAATTGCCACTTAAAAACTCTGTTTACCTTCTTTTGAGAAAGCACATGTAAGTACAAAATCCCTCAGAAATGAAGAAGTCCATGGCAATGGAACAGGCCAAGATGGTATTTATCTGTTGACACTAGCATGATCCATTCTGCTAAATAGAAATTTGGATTTTATATCTTTCTGCCTGTATTTAGAAAGACATTGACCCAACCCCAACCTTTGCTTCAGTTAACCACAGGATGGATTTTCTTTATCCTCATTTCAATAACTACACAAACTATCCAGCCTGGTCTGTAACAAGGGAAGAAGTTCCTTTGTACTGACACTATGAAAATGAACTTGAAAGAAGTGGTGATACAGTTGCTGTGAATTGCCCTCTATTAATATGGGATTGAGCTCCCAGATTTCCATCTGAGATTTCCTCGGGAGAAAAAGGGTCTGAGGAACTCCTGGCAAAAAAAAAAAAAAAAAAAAAAAAAAAAAAAAATCAATTCTGGTTTATCTACAATGTATGCAACCCAACATGGCTTATGCTATGGAAACTATATGCTCATTCCCATCAAGAACAGTGCATGTGAAACACACTGGACCTACTGTGCAGATGAACCATTTGACAGATGATTTGAATTCAGGGTTTAGCATAACAAAACCATGTAAATATTTGCTACCTGGAAAACATAGCACAGTCATCTACTTTCACTCAAAGGATGTAAAATGAAGTCTCTAATGTCAGGCAGGAAAGAAGGTATTTTTTACCACAGAATATCATCCTGATTCATGTCTTTGTGAAGATACTTGCAAAAACCACATTGGTGTTAATTACAGACACAATTACCTGTGTATTGCCTTCCACAAGAGGAACATGAGCACATTTTCTCTAATGAAGCCAGTAGTGGTAACAAAAAAAATATATGCGTGTTCTTTCCAATGTAATAATATCAATATTCAATATACATAGGGAGTATAGGGGTCATTCTTGTTAACAAAAGTTTGTTATTCTTTGTGTCGGTGGTTGTTTTGTTATTTTTTTTTTACCCCTGACAAATATATTATATTTTTTAATAAGTAGAAAATGTACAGAGTAATTTTTCCTGCAATCCCCCCAAAGGATATCCATCAGAAAATCAAAAGTTTAAAAGAAAATTACCTGAGTAACCTTCACTATTCTGCTAAATATCTTTACTGTGGCAAACAGTAAATGCCAGTATGCACTCTAGCAATAATATAATATGGTATTGATCATTAAAATTCCATGAGTAGAGGAAAACTCTATGCTGAATTATACTCTTCACTGTAAATTTCAGGAAGATTTATAATGTTTTTCCTACACTCAATGAAAAACAGCTGATTATGACTATACAACAATAAAGACCCAAGAACTAAAAATATTGTAACAGCAGTTTATACTCCAATTGAAAAAAATCAATAATATTTTCAAGTAGCTCATGTATTAATTATGGCATGCTTTCTTCTCTATACAAGTGTTTGAGAGGTAGCACAGTTAAGAATGCAGCTTGTCAGGCTTCTCAGCTTCAGAGGAGGAGGGAAGCAGGGGATTGCTTAGTAAAACTTGGCATCTCCCGAATTTAATGAGAGTTACACATCTCTGCCACACATATAATCCTTTTGAGTAACTCTAGAAATACAATCCCAAGACCAGAAAGGAGAGGAAGTTAATTCCTTCTCTGCACAGTACAGCTGCTGTGGATTCAGCTGTTGGTAGGGTACAGCATCTGCCACTCACCAGCCCAATGCATTGTGTGTTCTTGTAGGAGCAGGGACTCTTGTACGAAATCAGGTAAAGTGCAGAGAAAACCAATATCTCTCAACTATGTCATAACTAAGATGACTTATTTCTCTGGAGGAAAAAAAATGCATATATGCATACACAAATTTCGTTGGAACTGGAATAAAAGTGCACGGGAAAGGAGAAAACATACTCCTATTTTATTATCTTCTGCTACTGGGAAGCCATTCCTTTGACTTTTTAGCACTTATGTACAAGTGGATGTGCCTTTTACCTTCTGAATCACCTTTTGCTACAGAGAGATTTCTTGAATTTTTTCTGGTGTTCAAATTCTGTTGACTATTTGATCATTTGTTGTGTTAGATCAGAGGTATTTAGCTCTTTGATCTTCAGGCAAATCATGAGTGAGTGCAAGACCTCTGTCTATTCAATAGCTAACTTGTGTCCTTTAAGTTGTGATTGCTTGTTGCTCCATATCCACAAAAGCCATGGCATGTCATTTCACTTCTGTGTTTTCACTTGCTCAGCATATCCTCTCCTGATACCTAAATTTAGAGTCAGTAACAATTCATTACTCAACTTGTATCACTGACAGGGTAAAATGGTTTTGTGGTAATATTCTCTCTGTTATGTGGAACACTGCACAAGACAGAGAAGTCATTAATGTATTAAACTTAACAAGATGACAATTAATGGAGAACATTAATGGCTTTTTGGATGTGTTTCAAGCTTATATTTAAAATATGAGCGTAAATCCTTTTGCAATGCAATCTGTTCTTTGTATAAGTTTCCTAATTGGGACTGAGAGCTACTAATGATAATGACTTGATATCAAGTCACTCATGCCAGGTTTGATTTTGTAAAGGGATGAGCACTCTGCACCACATTCTGCAAGTGCTTCTTGTGCACAGACCTAACTTTAAGCCGTGTGAATAATTCCATTTAGACAAAGCTCCTTCTTGTGCTCTCAGGTTGAACATGTACTTTGCTGCTTTTTGAGGAGCATGCAGCTCTTTCAGTAGTTTTTCACCCACAACAATTTAATAATCTTATTCAATATCTTGTTACTTGGCTCCTAGAGAAATCTGTTAGACCAAAGACCTCTCTAAAGCTTCTTTCTCTTTCTGTCTTTTAACTAAAGCTCCATTTTTTTTTTTTTTTGAACTGCTGCAACTGCTGCTGTGCCAAAAAATGTGTTTTGGATTATCTTGACATTATTTAAAATCTACTTCCTTTCAGCAAGTTAGGAGACGCCCAAAGAAGCCATGCTGAAAATTAAGAAGGGATTTTGCATCAGGTTTAAATTATACACATATATCCAAACAAGCTTCTTGAGTTTCTCTGTTATCACACATCACCTCAACCATGTCTGTCCTGAAGTGGGCTCTCACAAGAAGAAAAGAATCACAGGCCTAATGTTTCCGTGTGTTTTCTCTAGATATGGGACATACATTACATAATAAATTTAAACCTAAATTTACTTTGTTGTAATTTAGGTGTAGTCAGCTTATTTTGAGTTTGCCATGATTATTAATCAACATCTGCCCATTACAGAGATCAAACTGAAAAAGTTCCAATGTTGCCACACTGTGACAGCTAGTTCACATCTCACAGCTCACTTCTAGGACCCATTTCTGCCACATTCATGCCAGTTCCTCATGTATACAAGTCATATCTTTCATCATGTGATCGTGTAAGCATCAGTGGTGACATCACTAACAGGGGACCAGGTGGCCAAACTTAGCGCAAACTCAGCTGTGGCAGCTTGACCTAGTGAGATCTAGTTTATCTGAAGTCCAGTTTATGAATGCCCTGTCAAGGCTGCTAACAGAGTTCTGCACATACAAGTCATACAACTGTGGTCTTCTGTCTCCTATAGTGAAAAGGAACACAGACCACAGCAGAGAAAATCAGTTTAGGAAAGTTCTTTGCAACCAAAATGCATTCTTTCTTAAGAGTGTCTAGCATCCTCTGCCCAACCCAAAACCACAGAGGCCATGACAAGTAAGTCTCCTTCTCTAAAGCCATAATGAAGAGCTATATTAACAAGGCAATAAAAAAACAAGTTTGTAATAAATTAACTGCTTGGTTTTCTCAGGGAAAATAAAATGTTCTCCTCAGTTTCAGCCCATTCCACCCTCTGCTCTAAAATGGTCCCAAGGGCTCGCAGCTTTTTAGTCCTGTGGGGAAGCTGAAGACCTCCTTGTGGGAGGTCTGCAGAGTATGGTGCCCACCCATGGCATGAAATATGCGTCTTCTGTCCTCTCCACCCATCCACAGTGTTGCAACAAGGCACCCAGAAATCCTGTGTAATACCTCCCTGTTTGTGTGTAATTTCTTTCTCTTTCTACAGAAACAGAATGTTAACATCATCCTTGCAAATATAATAAAGCATCAGGCTGAAGCATGACATTCCCTTCCATGCAGTCATTTTATTGAGGCTCCACATTAACCAGTCTCAGGATCCTAAAAAGCAGCAGATATGAGGTTCCTATTCTCATGCTATTGGTTAATTGTTTACTATATATCCAATCCAGTAGACTGAGCCTCTTGACAGGGCATTTCCTGATGTAAAATGTGCGTGAGCAAATTCACATGTGCTAGTGCACCAACATAAGGTGTGCACGTGTGTGTTGCACATCTCCCTGTGATGTTTACCAGTGTATTTGCTGGAGTAAATGATTCTCACACCGTTCCAAAGCAGATGTAAATTACCTATATGCTGTGTTTTCTTATCTTTAAACCAGGTGTACTGTAAAAATATGTGTAGTATAACATGGCAATTTTTAGTTTATTTATTTATCTCTACTGGGACATGGATTTTTGCCTTGCTGTACTTGTTTGTGGGCCTCCTGGTAGAAGATTCATTGCCATTCACTGAGATGATAAACAGTTTCTATTCTCCAGTCCTATTATCAATTTCTATTCTATTTTTAGTAAATTTTTTTAATGCATTGATAATCAGCTTTGTAAAAACAATTTTGCATAACCAATATGATAAAATGAGATATCCACTAGAAAAAAATTAACAAGAAATATCTATTCCCTGCCCTTGCCCTTTGATGTTTTTTTTTCCTATCTCAAGGAAATATTTCGAAACCAAGTCCTTTATCCTAGCTGCCCATCAGCTAGATCCAAATGCACCCATCTATCTCTCTGTCTGGCTAGCTAGCTAGCTTTTTGCCTCCTGTATGCTCACTGAAATATTTTTCCTTGGATAGTTTATTTTCTCGGCAGTAATTTGCAACATCTGAGACAAAATGAATATAGGGTTAAACATGCTGTTATCCAAACTTTCCCATAAAAGGACACACTCAGGATTTTTCTTTAAATGTTCAGATCATTGATACTTCATATTCTCTGAAAAAGAAAAGAAAAAAAAAGAAGCGAAAAATGAACAAGTCATGGATTTTCAGTGTTCTAATGACTTATACTAATGTATTCCTTCATCTAAATACAGATTTCTATTTAAAATTCAGTATGCAGGGGTATTATGAATTCTAGCTTAATAGATTCCAAATAATTGTGCTTTAGAAATGATGAATAGCTGTTTAAAGCCACTGATAAGAATATACTATTTCTCTCCTAACAATGGACCTACCACATTAACTGTATCATATATGCCTGAAATTAGTTTATTAATTTTTTTATTGATATGCAAACTACAAGGTGACGGCAGATGGCATATAACCCCTCACTCAAACAGCAAAACCCTCCAAAAAAACCCTTGTCTCTGCTATACTTCTTGTAGGGGGACAAAAAGGAGAGATAAGAAGATAGCTTTTATATGGAAGGCAGGCCACTGAAATGCAGATGATGCCATTCTCTCTTGTATTCTGTTTTCAGATTTGCTGGCATAAAAAGAATAAAATATAAGGTTGAATTAATGACCAGATTTTGCAAAACTGCAATTCAAGATGCTTTCTCTGTGCTGTTCATGCTATCGCTGGCCTTTAAAACAACTATTCTAGACTTGCTCTTTCACTTAAAAACCAAGCATCAAAAAATACCGAAATTACAAATACATTATTCATATATTAAGTATAGAAATGACCTGACACAAAAAATTTCACTTAACAGAGCTGATGGTTCCTTCATAACATATTAAACCCTTTGAAAACACCAAGCAAAATAGGTAAGTGCATCTGCAGATGAATTTGCAGTTGGCATACAACATGACACTGGAAGTTTCTGAGGTCGTATGTGATTTGTGTGCTAAACATACCTGCTGGACTTATATGCAGCACTTAAAAAATATAAACAAAATGTGAATCTATTAGAAAACTAACATTTTTTTGCTTAAAATCTTGGTGGAAGGTATGCGTTCTAAAGCATTATCTCAAATATTTAAGGAGATTTACAAAGACAGTGGACAATGACAATAGCATTTTTATCAAATAAGCAGTTAATGCTGAAGTTAGAGTATAGTGTCATCTATAACTAAATCGTTTTTCACTGTATAATGGTTGGGTTATAGCAAGCTTTTACATTACAAGAAGAACTAAAACACGGATGAGAAGTGCATATATATGTTTATATTGCATTAAGAAATCAGTATTTCCTATTATGTGCATATTGTGCAATGCAACATCCTTGTACTAGTGCTCCTTTGCTCTCTCTGCCCATATGTGACAGTATGTATTTGCAGCGCTGTACAGAGAATTCATCTCAGCTAAATTTTTGCTATTAGAAAACAATTTCAGTGCACTTATCTGCTAAAGCTAACAGCAAAAAATAAAATCTTCATTCTTTCCTAGGGGTTGGAAAGTTGCTGTATTGCAAAAATTTTTTCTACTTTTTTCATTGTCGTGTTTCCTACCTACAAGCAACATACATTTCCAATTAATTTGTCTTGGCAAAGTTTGCAGTGCCACAAGAGGTCCTAAAAATGGATTAAAGCAGTTTTATGTCTTAACTGTAGTTGCATCAATAATCCTTGGCTCTGGTCCCTTTAGCCTTTTATTTTTTTCTATAGGATCAGGGCAGTTACCCCCACCTCAAGGCCTTTTCTTCCTCCCTCTGGGATAGGCTGCCTTCTCCACACACCACTGCTACCCAGAAAAGAATGGTTCTTCTGTTTGTCTGGCCGACTGCATATTGCATCCATTGCTCCATTCAGCCTGTCTTTTCAGGTCTGGTAGCTGCTGTACAACTTCGCTTTTGTGCTCCACTGCCAGGCCTTTTCTGAAGCCAGACGCTTTTTGAAAAGAGGGTATATTTGCATAAACAATACCAAGTGAGGAGGTCTGCTGGAAAGAAAATCAAAATTCAGCTGAGCGAATCTTCCTAAACAACTCATTTCTTGCAACCAACACCTCCTATCGTTGCCATCTGTGTACTAAATTATGGCCGAAAACGTGTGCTGCTCTTTCTTTTCACTTGCTCTTGTGTACAGATTCCTCATATCAGCTGAAGTATATTTTGTTTTCAAATTTAGTCTGAACAGAGGTCCTTAAACAGAATTCAGTATATGGAATGAGGAAAAATATGGTTCTGTTAAATAAGGAACAGAAGGCCAGCCATGCATCAGCTAGCTTGCAACCCAGATTGGATTTGTACTGAAGGCTCATCAAAATGCATATCTGAAACAAGATCTACCCATCAGCTTGCTGAGATTTCATGTCAGTGATGGCAGGGCAGCTTTATCAGAATAGTGCATGGAGAAGAAGGCTTACTGCTGCGGCTGATAGCTGAAGGAATCATTCTGGAAAACATGTGTGCTTAAATTAAATCTTGAGTGGCTTAAGATATTGGATATACTGAGCGCATGTGTATATGTATCCACATAAACACAAAAATAAAGAGTTCATACATATGTATACATGAGTGGATTCATGTACATTTCTATGCATAAGCAAACATACACACATGGCTTATGCTGCATCCTCTGTGTGCATTTACAATATTTTGCACTAGGGGATAAAAATAATTAGGCTAACCCTGCAAAAAGCAGACAGGCAAACCAAAAGTAGCCATATGGAAAAAGGAAGAATAGACTTTCATAAGCCACTGCTCAAACCTCCCACTTAATTAGCATTTTTTATTCAAATATCTAGCTAGGTAATTTTATTTCATTAAATTGTAATCTTAATTTTGTTTTCTTGCTCAGATTCCTTGGATATAAATTATTAGCAATATTTAAAATGTGTCTCCCCTGCTGCATAGGTCTGCACATACAGAATCTTCCATTTTGCACTGTCTATTAAACCACATTCATCTGTCAGAAAAATGGTGCCTGTGGATGTGTTCAGCATACAAATCTACCACAGATGAGGGGTTCTCTTTCTACCCTGCTGCCTTGATCACTGCCCACTTTCCAAGTCTAGTGTCAAGTGGACTGGGAAAAGCCAGATTGCCTCCATGTGTTGCCTCCATCCACAGGCTGAAACAAGATGTATATGGAATTTTTGTGGGCATCTATTATTGGTCTGGTTTCTTCCTATGCAAAACTCAGCACAGGGGAGAAGTTCAAACAGAAGGTCTCATATCATGTCTTTTCACCTACAGACAGGCGCCTTACCATACAGGTTCCCAAGTGTCTGAAGCAGCCCCTTGTCATGAATCAAACTACATTTCTGTCATGGGGCTCCAGTCACACTTGCATCTCACCCTCAGGAGGTATCCAAGCAGACAGGTAGCAGAAAACTGGAAGGAGGTATGTCCACTCCTTCACATAATTTCCAAGTCCCCTATAAGATGTGGACAATTATTATACTTACCTGGAATGTAAAGTGGCCTGTTTCATACAACACTGGAAAATGAAGGTAAATTAAGATCCTTTTAGTAAGCAACTCTTTTACCAGATTTCATTTTGGGGGAATCATCCCTGTAAGGAGTTTGCCATTTGTTACAGGAAAAAAGTTGCTACACAAATAACATCTATAAAACACATCCATTAGGATTTAATACGTGTAATAGAAATAAGAAAACCCTCTACATAAAACCTGTAAATTTGGTTTTATTATTCTACATTAGTATCCATCATAAATCTTTCATTATTTTGAAATTAAAGACATGGTCAGCACCTCTCATTCAACTCATCTCTCAGATTAATTTGCAACATAAGTGACTGTATCAAGCAAAAAGAAAATGATAATAAAAATAACCAGAACTTGGTGCTTGACAAATAAAATCCAAAATTTCTGCTACTTAAATTGGCACAATGCCATAAATTCTAAGCTCAAGCACCTGAAATCATGTTTGTCATTTGGCAGCCCCTGATTTTGCAGTAAAGGAGTGAGTCTTTCCCAAACACATTCTTCTTCATGTTCTCCTGTTCCACCTCCAAGGCCAAGCAAGGTACTCTCTCTCCACAAGAGCCAGGCATGATCCCACAGTGAACTCGTCCAGCTCACTCTGCCTTGGCTGGTACTCTCACTTGTCTCTACCTAACAAGCTGTGAAACGGGGTGAAACCATTGAAATCTCATGCTGAGGGTGACAAGAGGGAAACATCTCTATTGGTGTATAGGGCCTCATAAAGCAAGGCACGTTGAAGGCAGTAAACCTTAGCCTCACTGAAGGCAACTGTTCATGTTACAGCTGGCACATAAGTAGGGAAACACAAGAGAAACACATTTTAACATTAAGCAGTGCCAAATTACTGGTTCAAAATACAGTATCTATACATATATGGTATGTATAACTGGTTGTTTAAGACCAGTAACTGGACTGCTTCTTGAAAATGACCCATGAAAGATAACAATTTTCTCAAATGAAATTTAAGAATATGTCAGTTCAAAAGCAGAAGTTGCAGGTGAATGATTGGCAATTATGCTTCCTGCAGTTAGTGGGCTTCACATATGCCAGCATATACGATAATCTAGGTATTAATCCCTCTGCTATTATGAGGATTTTCTCTACATTACCCTCCCAATCCTGACCAGGATAAAGAAAACAAACCCCCACCCCTAAAAACAAAACCAAACCAAACCAAATAAATTACAAAAAAAAGAGAAGAAATAATCACAAATCACATTTATGTGAGAGGGGTATTGCCTGATTAACATTAGCTGTATGCTCATTATAGTGCAAAACAAAATTAGAGAGATGGAGGGCTGGAAGTAGGAAAGAAGGAAGAGTGAACTCTGTGTTGTTTGCTGAATGTATTTTTCATGGAGTCTGCAAAACACTTTGGAGGGGGTTTGCATGACTGGATTTTGTAATCTCCATAACTTGGAAATCAAAAAGATAAATGATGGAGAAATGAACAGCTAGTGGCCTCAGTCTTGATGATTCCAGGATAAATCCTTTTAATAAACATGAAACTGCAGCAGAGCAGAAACTCTAAGTCCTACTTTTGATTTAAAGATGTTTATCTCTCTATCTTCTACATTTCTTGGGTTTTATTCTCCTCATATCTTTTCAATTTTATCTCTTTGGTTACCCACAAAGTTAATTGTTTTTGTATTTTCTCCTCAAAGATGAGGTATGTGTGTATGTGTATAACATTAATATATGCAAACAGCAGGGACGCACCTATAGTTTGGCTTTGTAGTTGCTCCCGGGAAAACTTAATGGGAAATCACTGTCATCCTATAGTCATTTTGTTCATGCTTGACACGTGCTGTTGTCTGAATGGCAGAATCATGTCTCTGGAAGGTATAAAAAAATAAAGGAAATGTCACATAGGGAAAACTTACTTAGAGTGAGTGGTGATGGTGGTGACAAAGGAATTGTTTAAAAAAATTGAAACAAACTGTCCTGGTTCCTCAGTATTAGGACTCCTTCACTGGTTAATCCATCAGAATTGGGTTTTGTCAAGGCTTTTTTTATACACTAAATGTTTGATTAATTTGTACATTTCTGCAATAGAGCTAAAAGAATTTGAATGTTCAAGATTTAATATCCAGGCTCCCCTTTATATACACAGAGTGGAAAAATACATTTAGATCTCTCATTTATTTTCCAATTAACTCGTCTTTATCTGTGCATTAATATTACAGATGTCTGAAGAATAATTAAAACAGATAAGCAATTTATAAAAATCTTCACATTTCATGCTAATTACCATAATGTAATGTTACATTTTTATTAGCAGCTTTTGTTCACTCCTCCCACCCTTCCAGCAACCCTGAGGCCTTAGCCAGTCAGCATGTTATAAATCTTTGTTAAAATACGACACAAAGCTAAGAAGCTTGCAACAAAGCAAATTGGACAGTGATGGAGCTCTCCTTTCTTTACCTTCATTTCCCAACAGCCAGCCTGTCATCAAATATGAAAACAGTGATGATTTTTCACAGCTTCTCAGTGTGAAGGCTAGGGGGCTTCCAGGACAGAGGGTTATGAAGATGGGCTTTGAAGGATCACAGTCAGTCCATGAGAAAGACAGAGAAGAGAAAATTGATCCTAAGATCCTGATGCAGACATAAGTCACGGGTCCAGGAAATGACTGTATAGTCAACATACCTAACACCACCACATCACACAATTATATTTACAAGGAGTTAAGTCCCATTTAAAAATGAATTGGCTTGTTTGCTCCCACCATTCCTATGCAAGAGTACAATGGGAATTTAAAACTAAGAATCCTAAGGGGAATGCCTACTGATGCTTAATGTTCAAGCCATCAAGCGAGAGAGCAGAAGTAATGCCATGTGATATTGCATGAGCCCTCCCACACCTCCTTTCCAGACATCAGTGGAACCAAACACCTGGTCAAGTAAAACACTGTGGTTGTCATGAAAAGTTTGGAACAAGAAGGAAAAGAAATTTACATCAATACAGAGGTTTCCTTTGCTGAAATAAGAGACTTCATGTCAGTAAGATGAAGTACCTGCTTGAGTGTTTACAAGAATGGGATAAACTTGTTCAATGAGTTATCTGGAACAAGTAACATGACCAGCTTGCCTCGGTGGCACACCAGTGGCCAGCACATTGGCATGTGCACACACAGGCACACACAGGCGCACACGTGTGTGCACGCCCTTCTGCTCTGGTGCTGCAAGGAAAGGCCAAGCACTCAAGCATGCTCCTAGTTGCCTGCCTCAGCAGCCGCTTCCAGCTCAGCCTTTGAGCAGTAATTTGTGTCATAATGAAGATAATGTACCTCCATATGTTTCAAAAATACACTCATCTATGCTTTCAGAAATAATAATAATGTAGTTTAGGTTTCATTTTGTTTTTATTCCTGAAATAGTCTTTGATACAAGGTGGTGGAAATGAGATAAAATGAGATAAAAAAACTTGCTCTGGTGCCAAGTTCTGAAACCTTTATTTAAGGAGAAGAGAACATATGTGTATCTCCTCAGCTTCTACCCAGTCTATTGATTCAAAACTACAAGACCCTTTTTGTATTACTTAATTTATTTTTATTTATTGCAACATTGATAGAATTCAAACTACATTAGATAATGTACTAGATAAATATCATTTTAAAACCTCTTACTGAGATCCTATTGGGACTGGCATGTAATTGAAAACACTTAATGGAATATTTCAGGGCATATTGCCAGAGAATGAACAAGAGAATCACATTTCATTTTAAAATGCCATAGAAAAATAATTTAAAATTATCATAACTGTAGTTTAGTATAGAAGAAGATGGGTAATAAAATTTACATAGACTTCCTTTCTTTTGGAAATGATTTTCTCTTTGTTATATTTGACAACTCCCCCACTGTCTTTTCAGAAATGCCTGACATTCCTTTTAATTAAGTAGTGAGGGGCAACAAGCAATACATTTTTTAAAGATTGCTGAATGCATTGGGTGTGCTTTCAGCTCAGGGGCCAAACTCCCTGTTGGTTTGTTCCCTTGGAAAGAAATAACCATGATTACAACTTGTGCCTTGACCTATTATATGATTGTACAAAGCCAAATTGTAAAACTTCCTTTAGGTTTGGTTTGCACTATCCTTTCTTCTATAAGGCCAGAATAATATTTAGGTCTTGGAGGGCTCAAAACTGATAAATTCTGAGGTTTCTGATGAAGACCCAGAAAAAACTCGGGCAAGAGTCTTTTCAAACTGGAGGTTTTGTAATTAATTTCCTGGTTGCTTGCTTGCACATCCTTCTTCATCTGTTACAACTCAACAGAGGAACAGAGTTTGGGCTTTCCTTTGGTCACACAATTACCTAGAAAGCTACAAAGAGTGGCCAACCTACATGTTCGATAATCCTGCAGACTATTGAAGTAGATCCCTTGCAGGCTGCTGATGTCCACGCACATTTATACTGCAAATTTACCATTGAAAGTCTCCCTCAAGCACTTCTTCACAAAAAGAAGAAACCTTTTTTTGCTAGTTAAAGATGTTCCTACCAACAATGTAGTAGTCAGGAGAAGCATTAAAAGGCATCTTCAGCTGCCACAAAAAGTATCCAGTTTAAATGAATAAAAGAAAGGAAAATAATTTCAGATGCAAATTTTCTCAACAAGAACTGTCTCTACACACAGATGCAAGTATATATTATTTTGCTGACTCGAGTTTGGCTAATCTTGAACTAGGAGGTTGTCTTCACACATGCAAAGAATTACAGTGGAAATACTTAAATGTTTAGTTGTACCAGTTGAATTTTAGGATCCTTGAGCACTGAAATCCTGTAGAGGGTTTTTAGGCTAGCCAAATTTGTAGACTAATATTGTTTAATTCCTACTTATTCATGTCACCAAGACATGGTGACAGGGTCCTTTTTATGATCTGATATTAAAAGTTAAGAATAAATCAAAAGAAAATGTTTGAATCCAGAGTCCCTCAAATCACTCTCTTTTGATATGCAGCTCCAGATTAAAATGTGTTTTGAACCTTGTTCATATTTAAGTCTTCTCAGAGGAATATCTTAACACCAGTCAGCCAACACCTTAAGGGTATAGCTCATCCCTTGTCTATAATTCTGGACCTGTGTTTACATGAGCACAGGGATGGGGCCACACATTTTTGCCATATGTCAACATATATTTGCCTGCAGGTTGAAAACAAAGTTATAAAATAGGCCCTTTGTAAATCTACAGCAAAAACAATAAAATCCAACAAATATTCTGAGAACTAGTTCATTCTTTCCTCTTGTCACAATTTACAAGGGTCTGTGCCGCTATCAGATAATATTCCCTGCAGGCATATTTTTCCCACTGGGTGCTCAGAAATTATGAGGTTCACTGGAACTCTTCTCTCTTCTTTTCTGCTCTTTTGAATTCATTGAAATGATGACCCTAAATCTTGAATTTGGCAAGAAAGCCACAAACACCAGAACTGAGATGGCTTATCAACTTGATTCCTCTTTTGCAAGGTCAGCCCCAAGCATTCCCTGATGCTGAGAGATCTCATGTTGCAGAATTAAGCCAAATGTGGAAAGAGCCTCTGGTGAATTGAAATAACCATCCCAGAGTGAAGATCGGAAATCAACATGCTCAGATTTCAGCCTATGGAATGTGTGAGCTATCAGCATTCAAAGTTTTGCCACTGGAGGGGTGGGGAATTCCACAGCTGCTTGAGCAACAGTTATTGGCCAATTTATTCAAAATCAAATCATGGTCTTCCCAGCTAATAAAGCAAACCAGCATCAGTCACACCACCACAAATAATTACAGTCTCTTTTGGAATACATCCAAACCTTTCAAATAAAACAATTGTCCTAGTTAATACCTTATCTTCCTCTTGCACATCCCATGCTCCTGCCATTGGCTTCTGAGACAACGTGATCAAGATTGAACAACACACACCATATGCTCACAACTGCGACATGTCAATAGCAAGTTTTGAACCAGGGCATAGCGCAGAGATACCTAAAGTAGCAGTGATGGATATCTTCCTTATGGCTGTGGTTTAAAGCCCAGGTTTATGGCATTTGACCTCATCTGCCGTTGGCAAAGTCACAGGTACCAATGACCTATTTCTGCTTATGGTGCCAGGCTGGAGTGGATGTTGCCTGCAAAGACACACTTCATATATCTTCTGGTATCTGAGGTGATGAACACTGGCAGGGTACAAAAAGTAACTAATGAGTGTGTCAAATGTGCCTTGCAATTTCACAGACCCATCACGGGGGAAGGGGTTTGCAAGGGTGTACGTGCAGTGCTGCTTGCCAATAGACACAGATTGTTTAACAGTCACCTCCAGGCAGTAAAACTGATTGCCAGTTCAAGTGCCAGGTAATTTTATAGGATAATTATTAACGTTACTGAAGTTATTAAAGACTAGCTACTGGGAGACTTGTGAAGTGTGAATTATCGCTATCCATCTGACCCGGAAGGATAGCTAATCCCCTCAAACATTTTATGCTGAGCTGAAGATTATCCCTCTCTTTAGATATTAGAAAAATCTTCAGAAAGGATCAAATTACATACAAATTTTACAGTTTTGGGAGAGCATTTACAAGATTTCTCTTCCACTTCTCCACCACCACCCATCCCCCTTCTTACTCACCCCCCTTTCCAGCAATATGCTAGGAAAGCACATTTCCATTTCAGCCCTGTCTGATATTGCCATCTTCTTAGTACACCACAAGCAGAGAAATAGAGATGTGAGTCTCATTATATCTTCCATGAAGAATGTTTCTAAAGATGATAGCAGAGCAAACACCATTTGCTAAGGCAGTCAGCACAGTTTGCTCAAGGTCCCACAGTCTCCCCTCCTCCTTCCTACCTCCTTCCTACCTGAAG